CGAGATATCTCAGTAAAATCTGGCTGCATATTCTTATACGTCAGCATATGATTGTATATTAGCACTGACCATTTTTTTATACCTCACCATGTAATCGTGTATTAGCATCATGCTGCACTTTTGCCGTGTATTCTTATATTATTCACTTTTGATGAGGTTTTTTGAATTCACAGTGTTTATTTAAAAATATATACATTGCCTTCTTTTTTTTTTACGTGTGAATATACACCAATACCGATGATGAATATGACATTAACAACCTTTGACTTACTAAGTAATGAAGCAGAGGCCATATCATTTTTCCAAGAAAGAGGTCTTTTACCTGACAAATGAGTATACACAACATAAAATTTTATGTTAACAATAAAACCATTTGGAAGTGCAGCATTCAAAATTACAAAATGAAGAAGGGCCTTTGTGTTAGAAATTGGTTTCAGCGGTTCTAGAATATCGTTCATCATTGCTATTAGAATATCGCATCACTGCTGATTTATCATTTCCAGAATATCGTTCATCACTGCTGATTTACGTATGCTAGAGCAGAGGAGCTGACATCCACAAAATGGTGTAACAAACAGCTTAAATATGTAGGAAAATGCTGCAGTTGACTGGAGCAATTACATGCCATAAAATGATAAGGGTTCTTAAAAATATTCTTCAGAAACGACAAGCGAGTATTATTGTTATTATAATACTTTGTTTATTTTTACATTCATGGTTCACGAACTTGGCGAAATTATAGATGAGATCTTGGTGCAAATCTAAAATCGCCAAAGATGGTTGAAAACTTCTATAACAAAGTACCAATATTAATAAGGCTACTATGCATATCATAAAAATGCATCAAAGCTTTAGCAAAATGAAAAAAAAAAAAATTCTAGATTCTTGGTGACTAGAATTAAGAGATTTAAAAGCACTTTTACAAGTATAATTGGACTGCCTAGCTGCAGGGATGAAAATTGAGAAAATTTGTCTTCAAAAACATTAGGCTGAAGTTTACATGCTATGTATGCTATACAGCCTGAAAAATCACCTCATCTTGTCCCTAAAACAGTCAAAAATATATGAAAAAATTGCAATTTTATTAAACAAAAGTTACATATAATAACAGGTAGATAATGAAGGTATAACACTCAAGAGAAAGTTTAAAAAACATTTCATCTTATGTTAATGAACATCCTATTTGTTTACTCCAGTCTATTTGATTAGTAAACTTCCTTTGTACATTCAAAGAAAATTACTGTTAAGGTAAAGTTTATAGATATGTTTTACAGCAGTTTTGCTTCTGGCTTGTTAAGGAATAGTTTTTCAATGTTTCAAAGCAAAAATGCTTTCAGTCACGGAACTCAGATTACTAAGCCATGATTCAAAAAATATTGTATGATCATCCATAAGCCCTCAAAAAGTCAGATATATAACAGCAAAATTTTGAAATATTTGTAAAGGAGATGAAGCTAAAAAGCTTTTCTTCTTCTTCTTCATAAGCTCCACAGCCTGTTACAGGCCAAGGCTGTTTCTCCAAGTTTCCTCCACTTGACCTCATTCGGCACAATAGCCTTCCATCAGTTAACTCCAATTAACCTCAAATCTTGCTCGACATCATCTATCCATCTAGTGGGTGGTCTTGCATTTTGTCTTACTCCCTCGATTCTTGAAAAGGTTATCTTTCTGGTCGGAAATGCATCATCATATCTAAACACGTGGCCTAGCCATCTGATGCGAGATGCCTTTATGATTCTCATAATATCATTTTCACCATATTTCCAATATTTTCCATACAGTTCTTGATTATAGAGAATCCTCCACATATCACTTTGTTATACTGGTCCAAAGATCTTTCTTAGGATTTTTCTTTCAAAAGTGGAAATCAGGTATTTCTCTGCTCTGTTAAGTATCCAACATTCACGTCCGTAAATGACAACAGGCCTTATTAAAGTTTTATATAAATTTACTGAACAATTACATTTAGTTTTTATGCTGATTAGCTTGGATTTAAGTTGTTTTTTAAGGCCATAGTAACATTATTAGTCATAAATATTCTATTCTTTATTTAAATTTTTATATCATTGCAACTTAAGAAGCTTTTGGCCATATGGAATTAAAGGCTGCTGTATTAATGACATTCATTACATTAGCTGAGTATTAATGACATTCATTACAAAAGTATTTTTCTGAAGAGTGTAAAAACCAAATGAATGCAAAAAGAATGAAAACTCTCAAAAACAATATAGATTTTTGCTGTTTTGAAAGCTAAAGCTTTGATTACATGAATATATTTTTATGAAATGAAATTTACCTTTCACTAGTTTTCACATTATCATGTCTTCTAACTATAAAAAAATATTTTTAAATAAACATATTCAAGTGATATAAAAATCTAGTGTTTAAAATTTGCATTTACATTACTTATAAAGGGTAGCATTATTTACATAAGAATTGTATTTATTCATAGTGGAAGATAACTCATTTGTTTGAGTACTAAATTTAAAATCAGAAGATATTGCACTTCATTATAAGTATGGAAAATAAATCTTGCATGATCTTTAACATCAAAACTTATGCTTCATTTCATTTTATGAAATGAAACATTATATAAATAATTAGACTAGAAGAGAAACACGCTAATATGACAATCAAAATCGTAAAAACAACCTTGTATTTAGCGTAGGTATAATGAAACACTCAATCGATTTCGAGGGCAGCTAAAGGTCCCTCCTCATCAGGAGAAAGAAATACCTAGAAAGAAGAAAATAAAGGAGAAGGAGTCACAGAAACATGTGGTCCTTATCAGCACTGCACGTGGTTATAACTAGATTTTGTTGCACTGGCCACCTTACTTTTACTGAGCCAGGCTATCTGATCGAGCATGAAAAATTAGCGAAGTTAAAATAGGGAGCGGGGGCAAATGCACCTTACGCTCAAAATCTGAACTTCAAATAATGGAAAGCAACCACTGAACGGATTTTTATACCCTCTGGTAGTACCAAACGCGAGGAGGTAATGCCATCTATCGGCAAAAATAACTGAATTAAGATAGTAGAATTTTAAAGGCATTAGGAAGGACTGGATTGGACTTCAAATCATTAACTAAACCTGCTAAATCTTTGTGAATGTGAAAAGCCTCAAGAAAATCCATTTCACCTATGGAAGAAGCCTTTTGGATAATTTTTGCAGATCCGAAATAAAAATTATGGTTAAAAGTCCAACTATGATATGCTATTGAAGACTTGTTAATTTCGCCTTTTTTGACATAAGATTCATGTTCCTTGATACGAAACTTCAACGCTCTTTTCTTTGGCCGATATATCTTAAACCACACTGACACGATATACTATAAATTCCCCAAGAATTCAAGACAGAAACGCAATCTTTTAGAATCGAAGGGTGAATTTTATTAATAGGGGAGAAACCGACTTGAAAATTGAATTTCTGGAGAATCCGTGCAATTTTATAGCTAACAGAAGTATAAAATGGAAGCACGACAAGGTCATTAATATTATTTCTAACAGTGGAATGATTCGGTATGTTGACGACACTTTCGCACTTTTTGACGGTTATAAAGAGGATTTATCCGAGATTCTATCTATTATGAATTCAACTGATCTAGCCATCCAATTCACTCTTGAAATTGAATCCAACAATTCCCTCCCCTTCCTCGATATTCTTATAATCCACAATGAAACTGATTTTAGCACCACTGTGTACCATAAACCTTTTGCAATTTGTTTACCATCCCATGCCAAGTCATGCCACCCTGTTAAGCAGAAAATGGCTTCTTTTTACTATTATGTATTCCGCGCGCTTAAAGTTTGTTCCTCTGAATCTTTGCTTACCAATGAACTTAATTTTTTGAGAGCAGTTGCGATTGACCGTGGATTTTATCCCGTGATTATTGATAAAGCCGTTAAAAAATTTTCAGATTCCCATCAAAGAAGACATTCCACTGTTAGAAATAATATTAATGACCTTGTCGTGCTTCCATTTTATCCTTCTGTTAGCTATAAAATTGCACGGATTCTCCAGAAATTCAATTTTCAAGTCGGTTTCTCCCCTATTAATAAAATTCACCCTTCGATTCTAAAAGATTGCATTTCTGTCTTGAATTCTTGGGGAATTTATAGTATATCGTGTCAGTGTGGTTTAAGATATATCGGCCAAACGAAAAGAGCGTTGAAGTTTCGTATCAAGGAACATGAATCTTATGTCAGAAAAGGCGAAATTAACAAGTCTTCAATAGCGTATCATAGTTGGACTTTTAACCATAATTTTTATTTTGGATCTGCAAAAATTATCCAAAAGGCTTCTTCCATAGGTGAATTGGATTTTCTTGAGGCTTTTCACATTCACAAAGATTTAGCAGGTTTAGTTAATGATTTGAAGTCCAATCCAGTCCTTCCTAATGCCTTTAAAATTCTACTATCTTAATTCAGTTATTTTTGCCGATAGATGGCATTACCTCCTCGCGTTGGTACTACCAGAGGGTATAAAAATCTGTTCAGTGGTTGCTTTCCATTATTTGAAGTTCAGATTTTAAGCGTAAGGTGCATTTGCCCCCGCTCCCTATTTTAACTTCGCTAATTTTTCATGCTCGATCAGATAGCCTGGTTCTGTAAAAGTAGGCGGTCAGTGCAACTCTGATTAAAAATCTAGTTATAACCATGTGCAGTGCTGATAAGGACCACATGTTTCTGTGACTCCTTCTCCTTTATTTTCTTCTTTCTAGGTATTTCTTTCTTCTGATGAGGAGGGACCTTTAGCTGCCCTCGAAATCGATTGAGTGTTTCATTATACCTACGCTAAATACAAGGTTGTTTTTACGATTTTGACAAATAATTACTTTTAAAAAAGCAGCAGCATAAAATGAGAAAAGGACAAATATAAAATTTTAAGCATATAAAAAAGTAAGTCTTCATTTAAAACAATGCATGGATAATTATTTAATATTCTTACCTATGATTATGAAAGTGAATATTAATACAATGTTTAATTATAGAACTCACTTTCAAATCTCCAGAGATGTTTGCTCCAGCAAGAATACCTGTAGCAGCAGGGAAAAATACAGCAAACACAGAGAAGAAACCTTCTTCTTCAGCAAAATGGGGACCCACATTTTCAAGAAATATTGTAACTTGAAAATAAATCAATAATTAAATATTGACCGTTTGGGAACATTGTAAGCATATTATTTGTAAATATGTTAACTTAAAATAAAGCGCATGTTTCATTAATAAAAAAACTTTCTCATGCTTCACATCTTCGAAAAAGTACCTTTCAATATGTTAAAAAAAAAGGAGGGGGGGGATACTTGCTCTCATAAAAAAAAAAAAATATTGCAGTAAAGCACTTGTATCTTTTTTGGTCTTTATTAGTATAATAAATGAACAACTTCATCAAAAAATTATATTTATATAATGCATAAGCTTGGTTATTAAAGAATGAATATCAACAAAGAGTGAAATGTCAAAAAATGGCATCTGAATACCAATAGGGGGGGAAAGGACAATAAACTTTTATTTGATAAAAATTACACATAAAAAGTGAAACTGGATAATTGTCTAAGCATGTGGTGCACAGAATCTGATGTAGATGCATAGAAGTAAAAACGATAGGAAATACTACGTGCTAAACCTTCAGCAATTGCGAGATTATGAAATTTTTTCTTCCCAGATACAGGAGATATCTGTAAAGATATCTGATGTAAATGTGTAATGCGAGCATGTTTGTTTGTGCCCACTGCAATGAGAGTTGAGCTCGTTAATGACCATCGAAAGGTTAAACAGCATAAAAGTGGATTGGATTATTTGGATACACAAGGGCTATATGCCTCTTCAGAGGCATAAGAAGAAGTAAGGTATATATATATAAAAAGAGAGAGAGAGAGAAACATCATTAAACAGCATAAAAATGGATTGCATTATATGGATATAAAAGGGCTATATGGCTGTTCAGAGACATAAGAAGTAGTGAGATTTAAAAATAAATAACATATGGATGGATGGATATAAGTAGAATTTTATATTCTTATTAATGCAACCACCTTAATAGGAGTAGCATGACTTTAATATCTGCATGGCTACCTAAAGTATTAATGCAACCACCTTAATAGGAGTCATGTGATTCCTATTACGGTGGTTGCATTAATACTTAATATAAAATTCTACAGATGTTATCTTTTTATTGCATTACAAGCTTTAAAGATAAATGGCAATTTTTTTGTTCTTAAACCCAATTTTAAAATATCTGAGGGATCTGCCTGCAACAGAAGAAAGTATGGTAAAATTTTTGTAGGAATACAATATTTTGCCACAGAAGCATAAATGTTGACATTCACATCTGATGATGATATATTTTGGAAAATCTTTCTGTAAATGCAGTGTGAAAAAGCATAATGAACATGTCAGTATTCAAACCCATAAATGGTTTGATAATAGTCACCTGCCTTCCACTGCAGCAGCCAGATGTATGTACTGTTGGAATAAAGAATTAATGAGTGTTAAGTTTTGTTACATGGACTAAGAATGGTTGACAAGACTGTGATAGACTAGAATAGACTGCATTCTTAATAAAAAGGACAAAGAATATAAAATTGACTGGCAGAAAAAATCTAATCGTAAAATAGATGAAAGTCTATTTACAAAGCAAAAACATAATGCAGGGCATGTTTAGTCATCACAATGGATTTTAGGAGGTATCTATTGGGAAACAAAGCAGAAAATAAATGAAAACATTAAGCAGTGAAATATCTAGTCTTTTTTAGTCCAGATATAAAACTGAGAAACTAATAGATGCTGGGTTTATGCATAAAATGGTTCATCATACATATAACTTTCTCGATTCTGGACTGATGTACATATGAAAAACAAAGAATACGATGTTCCAAAAAATGGCATAATAAGAAACACATGAACACAGCACATCACCACCTGGAATCATATTTAGTGGAATTTATATAGCATCAAGACCAAGCTACTAAACAAAACAATTGCTTTGAAATCTGTTCTTAAAGCAATCACTACAAAATTACCATTGGAACAAAAGAAACAAAACAAAACAAAAAAATTATAAGTAGTTTTATTAATTGCTTTTCAAGATAAATACTGAACTAAAACTAAAATATGTACATAATAACAATTATGCACAAAAAATAACCTTTCACAATTTTAAGCAATCATTCTTTTTCTTCTGTAAAAAATTAACAAACTATGCCACAGTTGCATTAACACATAAGCACCAAATTTTAATTCATTAAATAAAAACTTTATTACACTATGTCATTATTATAAAAATTCAAAATAAAAAAACGAATTAATTGTCACAATATAAATGGAAAAAAAAAAAGGAGAGAAAGAGAGATAAAGAAAAGAGGGGGAAAGGCACTTTAGCTTGCTTCATAGAATAACTGAAAAGCCAATTTAAGGATGCACTGAAAGATATCATAACATGAATTAAGGATCTTAATAATTTCAGTTAATTCCAACTTTATTAGCTTCATACTTAGCTATATTTATAATCAATGATATGAAACACCTTTCAAGTGGTTTCACTGCATTCACTAATAATTCAGATTGTGATAACAAGCCTTATGCCATGTTAATTGCATTAAAATTATTTAAATGACACCTGTCTAAAAAAAAGTTTTGCTGAAGAGGAATTGAATCTTCATTCATTTTCTAAATTCAACATGTCTTGCACATAGAGTATAAAAATATTTTTTGAACTAGTGTTAAAAATGATCATTATTAAATTAGTAGGCTCATAAAATGAAATTCAGATGAAAAATGAATCAAACAGAAGTCATGAATTATTTCAATCATTTTTTAAATAAAAAGTATTCAAGTCTGAAGCTCAAATTATGCAATGCAAAACATACAAACCTACCATTCCAACCTAAGAAACCTTTTGCCATTTGTTCATCACTTGGTGTTAGAACAGCACCAGCTAAAAAGTCAGCCATTGCTGCTAAAAGTATCAATAACAAGATGATTTGAGCCTGCAAATAACATTATATTAGCATACACTATTTATATATTACAGCTAAATTGGTAATGAAGACACTCAATTTTTTTTTTTTTTTTTTGTAGGTATAAAACATTACCTCAAGTTACAAAATGCAAATGCATTTAAAAGTAAAAAAAAATTGAAAGCTTTCAGATTTTATACTGCACCCAAAGGGGCATTTTGTGTTTCATATTTATTTATTAAATATCATGTTCTTTGCACTCAAATCACATAAAATTCAATTCTACAATAATATCACAAAATATTTAAAAACAGCGTATCTTTAGAATTTCCAATAGACAGTTTCGTGCGCTGGAGATAAAAATACTTTTTTCTGTACAGTGTCGCCATTGCTCGCTTTGAAATCTTTGTTCGTTAATCAAAAATTCATTAAAGTTTTACAAAATATGAAATAGATAATAAAACAAATTCAAAATTCAGGCTTGCAGGTGCCCATGTTCGAGTGGAGGATTATGTTATTCAAAATCTGATGGCTCTAAGTACTGTCGTTTTTTCACAATGGGAGAAACATACCTACATTCATGCGCATTTCCATTATTTAATTTTTTTTAAATAATACAGAGTGATCATATTTGGTGGCAACAATTTGAAAAGTAATTCAGCTTTTTAAGGTGATTCAACACAAAATCTCGTTTTGAGACTAACAGCCCTTCTGAGCTAATGCTTCTTTGGGCTAATAATCCAAACCAGTTTGATCGAACTTTTTCTGAAATACAGATTAACATATGACACCATCTAAAGCCATGGGAAACATTTTGCATAAAGTGTATTTCCTCGTGAACTTCTGCAGCTAAGGGTTTGGTTTTAATGTTTATTGAGACAATTATTATATGTTGTTGAAGTGTCATTTGATGAACCTTTGAGGAGGGGAACTATTGGTTGATTTTAAGCAGAACAAACTATTATGGAAATAGTTGTATTTCAAAGCAATCTTTGTCCTCTGGAAAAGATAAAAAAAAGGAGAGTAATTCTCAAAATAAATTTCTTTTCATGATTTCCTGTAGCAGCACGAACTTGACTGCTAGGCAGCTGAGGCTTTATCCTCCACTGGACTATCACTTTTTTATCATAGCAGATGACACTTTTTTATCATAGCAGATGGCTTAACAAGAAAAATGTTTATGTCCGATCCTTATATTTATTTAGCTTGTGATAATTAGAACTGTATTAGAACTGTAGGACTGTGATAATTAGAACTGTATTTTGTTCATTATAAGAAAAAATAAATCACACCGAGGGGTTACTTCATGACATTTCATTATTTTTAAGTAGGTAAATATAGTTTTTTGAACCAATGCCTAAGACTAAAAAAATTCAAACAAAGTACAGAAAAATTTACACCTGGAAGAGTCTAACTTAAAATATTCTCTGTGAGAGATTAATTAAAAAGCAGAAAGCAATAAAAACTAATATAAATCCAGGAAAAATTACTCAAACATCATATATAAAACTTGCATTAGTAAGAAAGCTAAGGTGGCAAATTACATTTGAATATGAAAATAAAACTTTTTAATTAAAAAAAAAAAACTTTTATATCTTCTCAGTTCAAATGAAACATTTTTATCCTTTAAGCAGATCTTTAGACTGTAATAAAAACTGTACATTAAGAATAATAAATTATATTTACGAATCAGATATTACAGGAATTTTAAAAATGAATTTTTGTAAATGATTTAGGAGGGCCTAAAGCTAATAACATGTCAAATAAAAAAAAAAATTAAAAGAGATACATTAAAAAAAAAATTACCTTTGTTTCCCACTCAGTTCCAACTATTGCTATTCCCAGGATGACCACTACTGTTGCACAGCTAATTATACGTATATCATTAATTCCATTGTCCAATAAAGGCATATCATTGTTCTGGATCAAAAATAAAATGCATAAAAATAAAACTTTAAATTTATTTTTCTTAATTTAAAATAATACATGAAAGAAAATAGGATATTTAATGCTACAATTACAAAATGAAACTAAGAGAGCATGATTAATTTCGGAGGAAATTGTTGGACCCATTGAATATTTTAAAATACATTTTCTTCAAAGGACCAAGCATTGGGGGAGGAGGAAATAATTTTGTTATAATAACAGGGATGTAAAGGAAAGAATATAATAAAACTATTTCATATCATATATATGTAATAAAAGCAAAACTTCAGAGAAGTATTGATGTAGGAACACCGAGATATAGAAATATAGATCCATATTGAAGAAGAAGTCAGCAGTCGAGATGGTTTAAATTCCATTTTTATTTAAACTAACATTTGTGGGGACAATTTTCTTGGCACTATAGTCATGCCTATTTCCAGAACATTTACATTTTTTGATACTTTTGCTAGGAACGGAGCCCAGCAAAATTACATAAAAAAAGCACACAGACACAAACTTAAGTGCATAGTTATCTTATAGGGAAGCTCACAAAGAGGAAGCTTTCAGTTTGAGTTAGAAATGTTTCAGTTCTCAGATTTTATGTTCCCAATTACTATGTCATCAGCATTACGCAAGATTCGTGATATATATTAATCTAGAAATGACACAGTACAGAAATGTTATTATTAATTTATTATTTGAAAGATAAGTATTTTATATTTTACATATTTTAGAGTGAAGATCAGAGTTAAAGGGGATTATTAATTTATTATTTGAAAGATGGGCATTTTATATTTTACACACACATATATATATAAAGAAATTTAGATCCAATTTTTCACAAAGACCAAAAATTTAAATTTATAAGTTATAAATTTCAAATAATCCTATAAATGCATAAATAATTTAATAAATGTTAAAACCAAAACACTTCAAACAATCAATACCCCAATTCAAAAAATCAATGAAATTTAAAGAAAAAAAGAACATAGAAGAGGAAACAGTAAAGCAAGGATTTTATGGAAGAGAGATTTCAATTGATTTCAATATTCCTCCTCTTGACGAAGCAGCACTGAATTTGATTGACTTCCTCTTCTATTATGTTCTTTTTTCTAAAAATTTCATTAATTTTTTTTAATTGGGGTATTGATTGTTTGAAGTATTTTGGTTTTAACATTTATTAAATTCATTTTTGAATTTATAGGATTATTTGAAATTTATTTCTTATAAATTTCAATTTTAGGTCTTTGTGAAAAATTGATTCTAAATTTCTTACTTAATGTCTTTATTGATAATTTTTCAGCAGCTAATGCGCAAAAATACTAGGCATGATTATATAGTGTATTTAAAAAAATTGTTTTGTAATATATATAGTATATATATACATAAAATTTGAAAGATTTCAGATTTTATATTTTTGATGGGGGACCCAAAATGGAATTTGAAGTAGCCATTGTATAGCCATTGAAAGTCATCTGACGCAAAATACCGTTAGACAGTGTAATATTTTTCATTGTTAAGCTACGATCAGAATACCAGTAAGATATATAAAGAAACCTTGCACATTGCGATGTTAATGGAACGTTTTGAAATTGTTGAGTTTATTAATGAAACATTTGTTAAAGTTTTACAAAATATGAAATAGACAATAAAACAAATTGCAAATTTTGGCTTCCAGATTCCCATATTTTAGTGGAGGACTACGTTATTCAAAATTTGATGTTTATCAAAGTACCTTTTCTAGATATTCTTTCTGTTTTCACAATGCGAGAAACATACAGACATTTATACATGTTCTTCATTACTTAATTTCTTTAAATAATAATGCATGGCTCTAATGTTTGATGGCAACAATTTGAAAAGTGATTTAGACTTTTATAGTGAACCAATGAAAAATGCCAAAACAAAATTAATAGACCTTCTGGGCAAATTGTCCCTTTGGGCTAAAAAAGAAAAAAAGATGGTAATAGGAATGTGGAGTTTGCTGGCTTATGAAAAAAAAAAAAAGCACTGCATTTCTTCAGAACTATGATGTTTTGCCTAAAGTACTGAATGAAAAAACTTGCATTCCATGAATGTGTACTTAATAAATGATAGAATTTTACGGACCAAAATTTTACGCCAATGCTAAATTTGACCATTTGCTATTTTCTGACCATTTTTTAAGCAAAAACCGATTGTTGTGTACTCAGGAAAGCAACAGCATATGCAGTTCTCTGATGTTTTTTTAAGTGAAAATGGATCTGTGTATATGGGAGAATGACAGTGTGTGCCATGTTAAACTGCGTGCGATGTAGAGTTCCTGTAATTCTCGATTGTTCTGAAGTTGAAACAGATTGCTGTGTACATGGGAGAAACCATAAAAAAGAGAGAGAGAAAAAAAAAATCTGAAGTGTTTTAAATTGGAAATTTCTTGAGTTTTAAATTTTAACAATTGTGTGTTGTAATTCTTATTATGCTGCCATTTTGAAAATGGTTACTGTTTTTAATATCTTAGTCTGGGGGAGGGAAATTTAGTCATCGGCAAATAGTGAAATAGCAAATAGTGAGGGAGTGTAGATAATCAGACAGTATCAATGAATCTACATGGCTGATCTTAACATTTTTGCAGATAGTGGATACTGTTCAGTGAAATGATGGCTAAATATAAAACACATAAATTTAACTGTACTCATACACATGTATGAGTTGGCTCTTGTATCCTGTATATTCAAATATATTCTGAAACATGTCTATTCTACCAGATGTTGAAACTGGGAGTGCAGCTATTCGAGAGACATGACTCAACTGTAGAGGATTCTAACAACAAATTATTTAGAACCACAGTTAACATGTCAATTAATTTATTGCTTATAAATAGTTATCGTACTTCAATATAATTTTTAATAATTTACAATTTTAATTTTAATATTTAAAGGTTTATATTAATTAAATTACAGAACCAATACTTTATGAATATGCTTTACTTGGCAAATACAAATACACTGTTTGAATGATTTTTCTATATCCGCAAAACAGAATTTTGGAAATATATCATTTAATAAATTTTTTAAATATTTACGTTATACAGAAACATACCCAAAGCAAAACTTTTAATGTCTCAGCAAATCCTACAACATACATTGCAACAGCAACTGCATTTGCCACAGCAAATATGAAACCAATAGAGCCTCCAAATTCAGGTCCAAGACTGCGAGATATCATGTAATATGTTCCACCTATTGTTGAAAGAATAATATTTAACAATTTCTTTTTATGCAACAAGAGATCAGATCACAGAATTTTATTTTTATTATTACTTAACAGGAAAATGAAATATTGAATTTTTGTTTTTGTGTTTCCTAATCTTTCTACCTTTATTTTCATTTTCCCACCATCATTTTCCTTGGTATTCTCAAATAAAAATTTAAACTGAAAACGATTAAATGATTAAAGCATTAATGTTTTATATTTAATACATACAAGTTTCAGCTTTTAATTAAAAGAGAGAGAGACTAAAGTAAAACAAAATTACAATAGATAATTAATAATTAAGACAGAGCAAATCTCAGTTGCTTGACAGAAAAAAATAGAAAAATAATAAACACAAAAGTGTTTGCCACTTCCTTGTATGAAGTAAAGGAAGTACAGTCAAAAGTCGCTAATCCGGACTCGTCGGGACTTCGGCAATTCCGGATTATTGATTTTTCCGGATTATAGATCATCAGTTTAAATCTGGTAAGATGGCATGCAGAAATTATAAAATTAAAAATATGAAACCGTCATTTATGAAATAAAGAACAATTATGATCTAAAGGGTATCAAAATTTACAAAAAAAAAAAAAAAAAAAAAAAAAAAAAAAAAAAAAAAAAAAATTATTTGTTTACTTTATTAAACATTTCTTTCAATGTAAGTTGTTTAAGTTGCTTCGTTTTTTATGTGATAATACATTCTCTTTAATTCTATAAACAGACAAAATTTCTTGTTCATTTACAAAGTTCCGCTATTCAAGTCCTATAATTGCTGTGTCGAGAATACCGACCAATTTGTCAATCAAAATTTTTTCGTTTTCAATAACCTCTGTCACTTTCTTCGCTATCTGAAGCGAATTATAATGACGAGGAATTTGATTTAAATCATATCAAAGAGGGAGTACATCAAGATGAAATACTACATTTAGTAAGGAATTATAAGCCAAATAAAATAAAAACATCTGCCCTGAAGATAAGGATAGTACTGACAGATCAACTTCCAATTCATTGCGCGCCGCGGCGTTAAAGATAAAGAAAGGATATGCCTTTATCCATTTTTTGCAGCAATTCCACTTTTTGTTTAATGGACTTCGAAACATACTTTCGCTTTGTAGATCCTTTACATATTAGTAAATATATATCGGACATTTTATTTGACATAATCAAAAGTTCAAGCTTACTTTTATAAAATTGCTCTAACAGTCTGCAAAAAATAATAAACCGGATCCAATTCGAAGATTCAAGAACAACGCAATCTGCAACATTAACTGAATTAGATAATTTTAGCTTAGCTTATACCGTCCATTATACATTAAACGCGCAAGCGTAAACGTATTACGCGCATGCATATTCACAGACGTAAAAGTCTTACGTGCAAGCGTCAAGGTGACGCATGCGCAGAAAGTTTGTAGCTTTGAGGTCTGGATTATAGATCATTCTGGAATATGGGTGTCCGAATTAACGACTTTTGACTGTACTGTAATCGCGACAATTTTTAAGTGTCATATTTCAAAGAAAATATCCATTTTCATGACTATCGAATGCAATTTAACAATGTTTTAGCATGACATCTGCATGTAAGGATAGAATAAAGGACTTTTTCAAAAATGGGTTGCAAAATGGATTTAAGATGGATTCAGAACAAATTCTTTTGTGCCGTCCGTAAATGTTCGTATCTCATATAACTAAAAAACAAGTAGCCTTAAAACATTGAAATTATATATATAGGGCTGATATAACATTTAGTTGTGCTTCTTCCTTTTTGGTTGCAATCAGCTGCACTAAAAGAATATAATATATATATATATATATTCTTTTAGTTATATATATATATATATATCTACTCTGCTACTTGGCTCAGTGAGCTCTCTCTCTCTCTCTCTCTCTTTTTTTTTTTTAATGTTGGTAAATTGTGCATTTTTTGCTTTAAAAATGATTGAATTATGTTGTACTTATCTTCCGGTTAAGGTTTTTATACCTTTAGTTAATCTGCATGTGATAGTTGTAGAACTATCAACAACTTAAAAGTTGTTTAAGTGCGACTAAACCTAATATTTTTACCATAGCAGCCACATTTTTTTACATTTCATTTGAAACTTAGCAAAATAGTTTCTGCACTTTCAGTGTCTTTTTGCGGAATGGGACCACAGATAAACTTTCAGTTTAGTGCACCGAAAAATCTGCCTTCTTGCCTGCTGGCCAAATTGCTTGTTTTTGCACAGAAACACTAATTTTAACTGTAAAAAATATTTTTTTAAATTGTCTTAACTGCATTTGGTGTTTTATATTTTTCAGTTTTTAGTATAGATATTTGAAGTTTTTTGTATTTTCGCCTTGTCACGAAGTGAAAACTGAATTAATTGACGGATAAATATATCTCTAATGAAATTCAAGAAATTAGTTTAAATGAAATGTGGGAAAAAATGCATATAATTTAATATTCCATACAAGGAAGTTATGTGGTATACACATCAGATTTTTCATATCGCATTTGCAAAGACCCTACAAATGCATTTCTGCATGCATAAATAGATCTTGTTAATATCTCAGTGTCTTACAGTTACTTCAAATATACTTTGACTCATATATAGATTTTAATTAGGCTGCCTTCTGATTACATAAATTAATTTTAAATGAATAAAAGCATAAAAAAATAAATACACAGACTAACCCCCTTTTACTTCTCCATTTGTGCATATGGCAGACATTGAAAGAGTAGTTAAAACTGTTACAGCAGTAGCTAAAATGATTATAAGACAAGCCAAACCTAGTAACAGAGAAAAATAGCAAATATTAATAAACATATTAAATATAAAAATTCAAGCAAAAAATTCTGTTATAAATACTTAACTGCAGTAATATACTGAATTAAATCAAAAACAAAATAAATTTTATACAATAAGTTTAACACATAATACTGAGAAAATATACTGAACAAAATTCAAATAAATTATATAAATAAAATTACACCTAAAAGAACCTATCTTGAAAATTTTCTGCAGGAGACTTATCTAAAGCATGAATTAACAAAAGCTAATATAAAACCAGGAAAATCACACAAACATTATACATAACTTGCATTGTGAGGAAGCTAAGATGAGAAAGATTACACTTGAAAATGAAAAATAAAAGGGAACAAAAATTTAATCTGAAAGGGCTCAGATTTTAATGGTCACTCAAAAGGGCTCTTTAAAAATTTACTATGGTTTATCAATACATATTATCTATAGATACAGACCAGGTGAAATAGCAAAACATTTTAGGCTAGACTAGATGGAATATATACATTTAGACTAACATGGAAGCCTTATACACTGACAAGCCAAAACATTATGACCATCCCATGCTTTTCAATGAACTTGTGTGGATGACACTGAGGGCACATGATTAAGTGGAAATGTTATTTAACTGCTGCTGGAGAAGGTAATGAACCATTCTTGCACTTGCTTTTGGGAGTGATAGGAAAGGCTGTTGATCTAAGTGAATTTGATAGAAGCCAGATTATAATGGGCTGAAGGCTCGGAACGAGTATCTCAGAAACTGCTTAAATGGTAGGTTGTTCCCAAACTGCCGTTGTTAGTATTTACGCAAAGTAGATATATGATGGTGAAACCAATCATAGATGCCAATGTGTTGAATGTTCATGCAGCAGCAAGGAAAAAGAACATCAGAGACAATCCTGCTTGATACAGCAAAATCGGCACCAGACAGTAGCTCAGCTGACAATGCAATCTAATGCAGGTCCATGTGCAAACATTTCGGAACACACAGATTAGAAAACACTGTTGAATATGGGACTGTGCAGCAGATGTTCAACCTTGTGTGCCTCTGTCGACCAAGCATCATCATCAATTACACCTATAGTGGGCTTGGGAACATCAAGACTGGACTATGGATAAAGACAGTTGCCTGGTCAAATGAATCATGATTTCTCATTCATCACATCGATGGTCATGTCAGGGTACACTGTCTTCCAGGCAAACAATTACTGCTCCTCTGTACAGCAGGTCATACAAAGTCTGGTGACGGCAGTATTATGCTTTAGGGCATGTTCCCATGTGCAGCTCTGAAACCCTTCATTATAGTAGAACAGACCATGAATGCTGCAGACTATCTGAACATAACTGTGGATCAGATGCACCCTTACATGGCGTCTGTCTTCCACATTGCAAATGGAATCTTCCAGCAGGACAATTGGGCATTGTCCCTAAACATGAATTGAAATTAATGTCTTAGCCACCTAACTCACTGGATCTTAATCTGATAGAGCACATTAGGGATGTCATGGAGCAGAAGCTGAGAGGTAAAACAACACCATGCTGGAATATCTCGACTTTGCATTAGTGCTGCTTAGACATTTGGTACAACCTGTTTCCAGTCATCTACCAAGAAATTGTGGCATCCATGCCAAGGCTGGTTGCAGCTGTTTTACAAGCCACAGGTCATCAACATGTTACTGAGTAGGTGGTCATAATGCTTTGGCTCTTCATTGTATATCTTCAGTATATTTGAAAAGTTAAAAAGTACATAATGTTTTAACTAGATATATCATGAGTTAAATGCATTTTTATTTAAATCATTCAGGTTAAGAAGTAAAAAAATAATATTGATAAGAATTTTGAAATTATATGCGAAATTGTAGACTTTTTTGTATAATGTAACATGAAAATCTAAAGAAGCCAAGCTTCGCTGGAAAAGGAAGAATACACAGCAAGTCCATTTGACAACACAGTGAATGGCTATCTTGCTAAATTGGCGAGATATTGGCAAGTTGGCAATGGTTTTGGAACTAAATTTTGTCACCAAAGTTTGCAAGAAATTGCCCAAAGTCACCAAACTTACCACCAAATTTGGTGAGAAATCGGCCAAAGTCACCAAACTTGGAGATATTTTGATCCAATCTCTGTACAACTGTAACGGGTATTGTAGCTGAATAACTGTTATTGATGCTATATGTAGCTGTAACTGTATCTGGCCCTCATATGCCTTCTGGTAATTTCAAGAAGTTGAAGTTACTAGAAATCTCTCAATGGGTGGAAGAAAACTATATAAGGCCAGGAAGAGCATCCTTTTCTGTGTAGCACCTGCTAGTTCAGAGTAGAATTTGGAGTATTAAGGTATTCATGAGAGTTTTTGTCTCTTGAATGCTATTTGCACTGCATGTTATTTAATAATCTTAGCAGTTTGAAGTGTAATTACTAATTACACTCTGTGATACTGTGAAGATCTGCACGGGTGTTATGTAGAAAATTTTAGAACTGTGAAGTGGTTCTTTTGGTAAAATAAATTTTATCAAGTTACCATGAATTCTGTGTGCATTCAATCTATTACGAACCTTTACGAACACAATAATATTCTTACAAACTGCATAAATTGACTTAGTTAATTTTGTAAGAATATTATTAAAATAGCTTAATTTGTTAATCAATAACAGACAAATTAAATTGGAAAGGTAAATATCTGACTTTTTGACAAATTACAACAGACTCGAATGAAAATTAAAACAACAAAAAATGTGTTTCCAAACTAATACCGTTTTAACAATATGTAGCAATCATTATGATATATTCATTCCCCATGAGCTTAATTAAAAAATGATCAGATCATCTGTTGATTAACCAGTTAACTGCGATTGACGAGAATACTCGTCATGGAGAAGAGGCATGATTTTGTGTATTGACGAGTATACTTGTAATGCGTATAAAGCAGTATAAGCAACACGCGTATAAAGCAACGTAATAGAACCATAGGGAAAAAAAAAAAAAAAATAACAACAAAGAAACTGGAGCTAATGATTGATTATAATCAAAAAGTGGGTGGAGTGGGAGCGATGGAATTATCATAGCATACTCCACTGCAAGAAAATGCCTGAAAAAGTACTACAAAAAGATATTTCTCCATTTCTTAGGCATTACGTGTCTGAATGCATTCATATTATATAAAAAAATAATGGAACATTATTGCCTATCAACTATTTACTCAAATTTATTTGAGAAGTACCCAATCAAAAGAAATAAATCGACACAAACTCAGCCATTTAGACCTAATATAACCCAATTAGGCGGGAATCATGTTCCAGATTATATACCTGGAACATCGGAAAAAAAAACAACCCTATGCGAAGGTGTTCGCATTGCTACAAACGTAAAATCAGAAAGGAATCGCATTACTAGTGTTCGATTTGCAAAGTCCCATTGTGTATAGTACCCTGTTTCGCTGAATATAACTCCAAGAATTTAAACTCTTACTTGGGTAGAGTAGACTTTAAGGTACCCCTTGTATTATAACAAAGTTGTTGTTTGATTTATCGCCAAATTGTTGTTTCATTTATGGTAGCCTGAGTAGTTTAATGTTATAGAAACCCTATTGTGACATAATCGGGAGCACGATTCTGGGAAATTTTGAATCATGGGATGTTTTGTAAGCGTTTTTGTGGTGTGTGTTAGTTTGATTCTTTAGACGGTAGAATGGCCGAATGTAGTAAGATTAATTTGAAGTTTCTGTACGATTTGGAGCAAAAGAGAAAAAGAGCTTTAATTGACTGGTGTATAAATGAAGGTGTACTTAGTAGCCAATATTAGTGTCCTGTATGTAGGAAGGATATGCGTCTAGACAAACGTAAAAACTGTTTAGATGGATTTGAATGGGTTTGTAGGAAGAAAGGTTCAGATGGTCACTATGTGAAGCGTTCAATCAGAAAGAGTACCTGGTTTGAAAAAAGTCATTTGAGTATGATTGATATTTTGATTTTTACGTGGCTCTGGGTGTACGATGCGAACTCGAAATTATGGTTAGTGAATATTTGCTTTTGGTAGTGCTTAAACGTATAACATGTTTTTCCTTTTTTATGTTATTTTATTGTTTGGTTTAAAATGTATTTATTAAGATTATGTATTTTTTGTTTGCCTATACTGTAGAATTTAGTGCTCCTTTGACTTTTTAAGTCAAAATATATCGATGTGCACATGGACAAAGTAAAGGGAGTGCGCAATGCAAGTTTGTGCAATTCTGGGATTTTTTTAAGTGAAAATAGGTCGACGTGTACATGGATAAAGTCAAAGGAATTGAATTGTTTTACGTTACAATTGAATTGTTTTACGTTAGTGAATGATTAAGTTATCATTAGGTATTCAGAAGGTTAAGAAATCTTCAGACTGATAGAACAATTAAGAAATCTTCCATTCGATGATACTTTGTGGCAGGGGCGTCAAGATTAAATGATGCTACGAAAAATTCCCCTTTCTCCTTCGGTTTAAGTCGGTTACGAAGATTTTTACCTCTCCATTGCCATAATTAACTTTTTTAATTTCGTTAAATGTAGATATTATATATCAGAATTCCATTACTTCTTATGGCAGATGCCATGCATATTAGATCAGTCTGTCAGCGAGAAAGTGAAAATCCAACCCACAAAATTTCTAGTATGTTCAGTATTTTTAGTTTCGTAGCCAATGGGTAATATATATCGTGAATAAAAAAAATCATTTCAAAGACACTGCAGATCATTTCAGAAAGAAAGCATTTTACATTTATGCTAAAATTGTTAAGTAAAGTTTTTACGGAATCAGTAATCACAATTTTAAACGCACTCATAAGAAGGGGGGAAAAACTGAAAGCTTTCAAATTTTATATTACGCCAAAATGGGCGGTTTTTTTTTTTTTTTATTAACGTTTTGAGTTTAAATAGCATGTTCTTCGCACTTAAACCACGGTATCTTTAGAATTTCCGGCAGTGTTGCGCGCTAGAGATAAAAATGTTTTTTTTTTTTTTTTTCCGTACAGTGTTGCCATTGCTCGCTTTGAAATCGTTGAGTTTATTAAGTTCGTTAAAGTTTTACAAAATATGAAATAGATAACAAAACAAGTTCGAAATTCAAAATTTGGGCTTCCAGTTGCTCATGTTCGGGTAGAGAGTTATGTTATTCAAAATCTGATGGCTCTAGGTACCGTCGTTTTTTCAGAATGCAAGAAACATGCATATATTGATGTAGATCTTTCATTATTTAATTACTTTAAATATAATACAGGCAACAGTTTGAAAAGTTGTAAAGACATTAGATAATTTTAGAAGCAGGAAAAATGAAAAATATGCAATGCCTTCGCCAGGAATCGAACCACGGACCTCTGGAATACGTACCCAGGGTGCAGACCAGCACACCACGAAGGCGGGAGAAATACTTTATATACTCCCTCTTTTAAAAGGTGACTGGGGTCTTTAGAAGACCCAATCACCAAATCCTGGGTGAGAAGAATCATCATCCAACACCCTTTTAGTGCGGGCACCACTGTAGAAACATTAGGTATTTTTTGGAAGCTGGCAAGATGAAAAATATGCAACTCCTTTGCTGGGAATCGAACCATGGACCTCTGGAATACGTGCCCAGCGTGCAGACCACCATGCCAAGAAGGCGGGAGAAATACCTTATAATGCAAGTACCAACTATTTGTTTTACATCATTATTCAAATTGTTTTTTATATCTCTAATCTGTACAGATATCATAAAAACATACTAATACAGCCAGCTTTAATAATGACACTATGTCAAAATATCTCATTAGAATAAGAAACAATGCAAAATTAAAGTTATTTTTGGTACTCTTCTGTTATCGGGACAGGATTCAGACATGCATGTATGTATGTATGTGCATATATGTGTGTGTGTGTATACATGAATATATACATCCACATATACCATCATACATATGTAGCGATCTCGAGAACAACTCAAGGCTCGCACATTTAAAAGAGTTCGAATTCTTGAACCTTGCACACAGGAGCTCTTTGCGCTAGTGGTAGAGAATTCAACTCGCATTAAAGAGACCCAGGATTGAATCCTAAGGTCATTACCATCTTCAAGGGCATGCGAAACTCGTGCGCTGCAGCACTTCTTACTGGTGCTAATAGATGACGACATGAGTAAGCAATTACTCACTTTGAAGCCACCGAGGTCTCTCGCACCCCGTGATCACTACACATATATTCCTAAATCTGGTCCTGATAACAGAAGAGTACCTTATCTTTTAATAGGTATTCATTTTCAATAAACAGGAATTATAATTCTTAATTTTAAAATTTAATATTTAAAATACTTATTTTAGAGGAACACAACAAGACTTATAAATTAATATACTAAATATGCTCAAATAAACAAGAAAAGAAAAAATATATTCTCATAAATTTACCAATTCCTGCTTGCCCTACCACCCAGGATAGGCGAAGAAACAACATAACACCCCAAATATTCAACAGACATCTTACCTGAAAAGAAAAAAATTATGAAACAAAAGTTAGTTTTGGAGTATGTAAAACAAATATAACTTAAATTATTTTGCAAGTCTGAAACAGAAACTAATACAGTACAAAGTCTGTAATCCGGACTCATTGGGACTTCGGCAATTCCAGATTAGGGTTTTTTTCTGAATTATAGATCATCAATTTAAATCTGGTAAGATGGCATGCAGAAATTATTCAATTAAAAATATGAAACCGTAATTTATGAAATAAAGAGCAATTATGATCTAAAGGGTATCAAATTTGACAAAAAAAAGCTTAATATTTATTTGTTTATTTTATTAAACAGTTCTTTCAATGCGCGCATGCGTAATGTATGCGCATTCTTTACACGTATGCGTAAAGTTTGTGGCTTTGAGGTCCGGATTACGGACTTTGTACTGTATTGACTTTTTCCCCTCTCTATTTTTAAGATACAGGAAATGATACTGACTTTTATAAAATGCACATAGCTGCAAAATTAGAACCATTTAATTTATTTTATGAATTGTAAGTTTTCTCCATCTTATTCTGCAATGCAGGATTATATTTACGAAAGAGAGGAATCTGCAGTTTTTTACAAAAGAGAAAAATATACAGTAAACAAATACAGTCAAAAGTCGTTAATCCGGACTCGTCGGGACTTCGGCGATTCCGGATTATTGATTTTTCCGGATTATAGATCATCAGTTTAAATCTCTTAAGATGGCATGCAGAAATTCTAAAATTAAAAATATGAAACCGTAATTTATGAAATAAAACAATTATGACTAAAGGGTATCAAAATTTACAAAAAAAAAGTTTAATATTTATTTGTTATTTTATTAAACATTTCTTTCAATGTAAGTTGTTTAAGTTGCTTCGTTTTATGTGATAATACTTCTCTTTAATTCTATAAACAGACATAATTTTTTTTCAGTTACAAAGTTTCCGCTGTTCAAGTCCCGTTAATTGCTGTGTCCGAGAATACCGACTAACTTGTCAATCGAAATTTTTTCGTTTTCACTACTTTCCTCTGTCACATTCTTCATGTCTTTATCCATTTTTTGCAGCAATTCCACTTTTGTTAAATGGACATCGAAAACATCTTTCGTTTTGTACGATCCTTGGGAGCTCCAGATCGGAAATTCTATTTGACATAATCGAAAGTTCAAGTTTACTTTATAGTATTGCTCTTACAGTCTGCAAAAAATAAAAGCCGGATCCAATTCGAAATTAAGGAACACGCAATCATCAACATTAACTGAAATAGATAATTAGATAATTTTAGCTTATACCGTTCGTTATACATAAAACGCGCATGGCGGAAACGTATTCTGCACTTGCGCACACGCAAATGCGCAGTCGTACGAGGTCTTACGCGCACGCGTAAACGCCTATGGCGTGTTCATGCGTAAAAGCGCGCAGATCGCAAGAAGTTTTTATATTTATGAGGTGGTCAACGACTTTTGACTGTACTAAAATATAGAAGTCTTATATTTTTCCTTCTTTTTGTATCTTTTATCTACCCCATTAAACTACAGTTAGAGCTAATTTAGCTTTATAAAATAAATTTTAAATTTTCTTCATTAAAAAAAAAAAAAACATTTATTATTACTTATATTAATTTTTCTTTAAAATAATAAGAACAAATTTGCATATTTTATGTATATTTTATAAATTAGAGCATAATAATAATTTTTTATAATTAAAATTAATGACAGCATCTAAAACTGTCAATAAAGAGATACCATTCTAAACTGGGATTAGACTGTATTATTGGTTTAGACACATAAGAGCTATCTGCCTAAGCTACATTGCAGTTTTGGCAAATTTTTTTTAATGCCAGCTTTTCAAGATAGCTTTTTAACCAGCATATTTTAAGCACTGATGTGCCATAAAGACTCTACAGTCACAAATGTCCACATTTTATCTATGATTTAAACCAAGCTCCAATACAAAGGATTTAGTCACTCTCCACCAGCCATACCACCTGAGGGGTAGCCTCTTCTAAAGTTGAAGATATTTCACAATGAAATAACATTGGGCTTGAAATCAGTACAAAAATTACAGAACATGGGAGGTTAAAATTTGGCTTAGATATAAAGTAATCTGCAGATCAGCATTATGGTTCACTTGCTTAGCAATAATAATAAAATATGTTTATCCAAGAAAGTAAAATTCAGAAAATAATTACTTGCCTGAATTTCTATAACAGATAAATTTTAACACCCCCTTTATTGCATAACAAAAGCACATATATGTCACAGAAGTACAAACAGTTTCGTCATAACCAATTTTATGCATTACTTTTTCTTAAACAAACTTATAAAAATATACAGTCAAAAGTCGTTAATCCGGACTCGTCGGGACTTTGGCGATTCCAGATTATAGATCATCAGTTTAAATATGGTAAAATGGCATGCAGAAATTACAAAATTAAAAATATGAACTCTAATTTTGAAATGTAATGTGTTAAGTTGCTTTGTTTCTATTTATTATTTTAAACTTTTATTAAGTTGCTTGTTTTATGCGAAATACTTTCTGGTCATTCTAAAAACAGAAATTCCGTTGTTCAAAGTCAATAAGTGCCTGGTCGAGAAACCGCTTAATTTGTCAATCAAATTTTTTCGTTTTCACTAACCTCTGTGTCACTTTCTTCACTTCGGGCGAATTATGAACGAGGAATTGATTGAAAAGCAAAGGAGGACATCGAGATGAAATACTACATCTAGTAAGGAATTGCGAAGCCAAATAAATAAAAGACATCTGCCTAGAAGAAGGATAGTGTGGGACAGGATACAAAGCTTCCAGATTCATTGCGACGCACGGCCAACGCGGTTTAAAGATTTAGTTAATGCTAGTTATCTAACAAAACTGGAGAAAAGGGGAAAATGCATATACCATAGGTTTTTCAGTACTAAAACAGTACACGAAGACTTATTTTATTAAAAAAACAGCCCATAATTCACGGGGTCACTCTTCACTTATCCATATTGGTTGTTCATAAATGAGAGCATACATGACAAGCAGAACTTTGAACGGTTGATCTTACATTATGGACTGGCATTTTTTTGGCGACCAACTCTCCTACAGCAACCCTCTTTTTTTTTTCCCCGCCGCCATTTTGTCTTCACGAGTAAAGACATATTTTTTTTCTTTTTATCTACTGAACACTTCGTCCAACAATCTACTAGCCATTACATTATGCTAGAAATTTTATCTAACAAAACTCTTATCATTAAACTTTCACTGCAAATGAAAAAGTGCCCAATCCAACTCTTACGCGTTTTTCAAAATAACCATACACATAAACCATGTACACGTTGACTTACTTAAAAAACTCCCAGAATTACACAAAAATGCATGCACACTCTTCACTATCCCATGTACACTGCTTTTTCTATAAATAGAAAAATTTCAGGAAAAATGAAATTTTCTGAATCTTTAATCCGTAAAAAGAACATATATGAAATTCCCTATGCGAAAAGATACCCTTTCCAAATTGAACATTTACATATAAAATAATAAAATCCAAAAACTTTCTAAATATCTATGATTGATAAACGTCATAACGAAAGCATTACAAATACTTAGTGTCAAATATTTAATTATTTCCATGCACGTTCATTCAACTAAAACGTATACCCAATTCCTACAAACATAAAATTCACAAAAAATTATTATTAAAATATAATTAATTCAAAACACTACTTAAATATAATACACATACATTAAATTAATAAAAATTAGCTTACAATCCTAATACTTTAAACAATCATTGCTAATAACAATTTTCCCAATATACCAAATTCTTTATCCACCTTACATTAGAACAATGCATAAATATATCTCAATAATTAAAATACTAACTTCCTAATCTTCTTTAGAATCTTGCTTACTGTGGATACCTTTTATATTCATTCAATAAAATTATTGACGATTTTTCTCGAATTTTTCCTCCACACTTCCCGCAAATAAAAAGCAAATTCTCTTATCACAAAAGAATTCACTTTAGACGCGCCAACATCCCAAATTTTTGTACCCACTTCAACACACACAATAACTAATACAAAATAATATACCACATTTTTTCCAAAATTCCCCCCTTTTCGATTAAAGAACCGTAATTCGTCCATTATATCACATGACATATCTCATGATATCTCATTTCCCTCACCAAATGCGTAATCGGAACTGAGTACTGCTCACATTATTACCAAAGTCCCAGGTAGTAACCTTTATCGCCTCCAAAATGTCGCGAAACTACCAGTTACCATATTCTAAAGATCAGCCGAAGCTTTTCATGCACCTTGTACTATAGTGTCACCAAAAAATCCACACAAATTGATCAATTTATTTTGGAGTTGAGATGACATACAAGTAGCATTTTTACTACTTTTTCAAAATGTTTTTGCAAACTTTCATCTCTTTCAATTCTTAGACGAATCAGGAGCTGATAATTCCCTTCCTGTTTCATCTTACCCCTTAGAGAGATGTCATAGGTTCCACAAAATATGACTGTGGAAATTATTGACATTATTATGTTTTGATTTTCTTCCATTACTTTTTTGTGCCCAGAAACTAGTCTAACATTTACAATCTCATTTTCTAGAAAATTCTTGGCAACAATTATTGATGCTTTGTGCCACTGATTTGAAAAGTGATTTTTACAAGCTTCATGCATGACATGATAAAGTGTAAATGGCTTAATAATGGAGGAGCCCAAAACACCTCTCACTGATGCAGAATCAGGAGGGATAAGAATACAGAACAAGCATAATGCTCCTTTTGCACTTTTTGAATATGCGAGCCAAGGAGCACAAGTCTTTTAGCCACTCATGTCTAAACTTTCTTCTTGAATGGATGGCATCTGCTGCAAAATCATAATTTTCCTCAGGTGTCCAACAGCATTTTAATATTTCCATCTTTAGATGAGAGACCATTGACAATGAACACCCTACACATCCTCCCAAATCATGGTTGCAACATTCCTCGATGATGGCACGACTACGTTATGTAGATGGAACATGGCTTTACCTAAAATGGTAGGAGAACCACACTATTTTCATTAATTCTTAACTTTCGCTGTCTTTTATTTTCTTCCTCTTCAGTGCTGGTCATTCAACCGACCCCCCACGTGTGTTCCCTCTCTGCATTGTTTTCAATCGCACAGTTGGATTATCAAGGTTCAAGGAAATGTACCTTTTTTATTATTCTTTTCAAAATTATTTGATGCTGATCTCCCCTTCTAAATTATTCTGGGCCTTAATTTTTAAGACCTTTGAGTTTTTACTTTTTTTCTTAGTGCAAAAGCATTTTTAAAGCTTTTTTTCCCCAAATTTTTACCGTATTTGATGAACACCTCTTTTGATGATAATTTAACTCATTGATGATGTAGTAGAGGTAAAGGCTTCATGCCTAAGTACTCTGAAACTTTAAACTTCCTTGATCCATGCGCAAGTGTTTTCCAAACAGATTAAACGAATTATTATACTTTACAACATTTGTTTCTTTAATTATTTAACACTAAGCATTTTGTCAAATTTAAAACACCATAATGACTTGAAACAGGAAAGAGTTTTGCAATAATTTTCTTTCCCTTTGTCATTAACCCAAGAAAGAAATCAGGAACTTGCAAATGTCATCGTCACAAAGCAGCCTCTCGTTAGCCCCAGGGTACTAAAAATTATATTTAGGCTGGACAAAGAGGGAATGCAAGTTTATAGGAAACTTTTGGAATTACAACCAGACATCCATTACTTATTTTTATTGTTTAAGGTCAATGTAAGCAAAAGGGTGTTCTGACAATAGGTGGTCCTATTTGTATAACTGGCTGTGAAAAGATTAAAGTCGTTCAGTGCACCTCCCTGGCTACGCCCATGCTTCTTAAGCATCATTTAGTACAGAAACAGAAAATAAGTTACTATATCCATTAAGTAGTGAAACTGAACTATTTTATTTGTTAAGTATTGAACTGGCTTTCTTTATTTTATTAGTAAAGTAATGTTATGTACATGAATACATTTTTCTACTGATATTTTCCAGATTTGATTTTCTATTGAGTTTTCCCAAAAATTAAGCTTTCATTTCATCATGTCTATGTTTACTGCATTAAATACATGCTGAAATTTTGTCAGTGATGATTTCATTAATTTAAATGTAAATCAAGATATTTAAATTAAAAATTCGTCATAAAATTTTAAACTGTTTCCAAATTATACAAGTGTAAAAATATTTTTTTCTCCTTACTGTATATGTAGAAGAAAGGTACATCAGGAAACATTTTTTTCACTTAATTTTTTAGGTACTGTTTTGTTATCGGAACCAGATTCAGAAATACATGAACGTGTGTTTGTATGTGTATATGTATACACACACATACATTCTTATTTACATATATGCATGCATATATGTATATTTCTAACCCCTGTCTTGATAACAGCACAGTACCATTTTTTATGTATTACAACTATGCATATAAGCAAGATTTTCAGAAAGGCCTTTTAAGAATGAAAGCATCATCTTATATTCAGGCCAATATGGTAAAGTAGTGATAATCTAGTCAATTGAAAGGTGACTACCACTTTCATTAATGTAAAAGCAAACTTACAAGTACACCTTGAATCCATCCAAATTTCACAGCAGCTTGTTTGTCATTTGAAACTTTAGATAATTCGTCAAATACTAAAATAAAATAATAAAAAAAAAAAAAATCTAAAAATGAGAATTTAAAACAAATAACATTAGTAAAAATAAATTTTACTTCAAAATAACATTTCTGTACAACACAAATCAGCTGTCTCTGTTTTAATAAAATATATACACGAATTCACCATTTTAACATTCATGTTACTTTTTATTAGGTTATTTAAAAAATATCAGCAGCGAAATATAATAATTATGGAAGACTTAAAAAATTAATGTAGTTAAAACCTTATGCTAAAACTCAGTTACACAAATTTAAAGTACTAAAATAATATGATTATAAGATTAAAATTAAGCATCAGTAACTGATACTAAATATTTATCAACTGCATGTTAAAGAAACTTATGGCTATCAAAAATTCAAAATTTGCTCATATACTATGAAAACTGCTTAAATACTTTAAGACAAAATACATGATAAAAATTTTAATGTGCTATTTGTAATGAATTATTATGTAAACATATTTTTAATTTTCAAATTATTTAACTAACACTTCAAACTGATGGAAAGCATGCATCACAACCAGTGGGAAAAGCAGAATCGCATGGTGTTATCACACCTGATTTGCAATGAAGACTGAAGATATTTTTATTTTCTATATTTTGATGGATTAAGACTCTCAGAAATATGAACTTCCATACTTTTGTTGATGTATTATTTAGGGATCAAAGCATTTAAACATGCACAATATTTATTGTATATAGCTAGAACAAAATTTTCTGTGCTTGCCCGGAGGTATTCTCCACCAAAATTTGGATACAGCAGGGCAAACTCATACTGTTATCCATAAAAAGCTCAAGACCGAAGTCAATGACAGACACAACCCTTGAATTTTAGCCATGATAAAATTTGTGAGGCTGATCTGGTTATAGATTCACATTAAGGGGATAGAAACAACAGCAACAAAAACTTAATAATGCAAGTTGTTCATACAAAATGAAAGGATTCATGACTCAGCATGATCTTTAATTATTTAACACTAAGCATTTTGTCAAATTTAAAAAGCCATAATGACTTGAATTAGGAAAGAGTTTTGCAACAATTTTCTTTCCCCTTGTCATTAACCTAAGAAAGAGATCTGGAACATGCAAATGTCATCCTCACAAAAAAGCCTCTCGTTAGTCCCAGGGTACTAAAAATTATATTTAGGCCGGGCAGAGAGAGGAAACTTATTCATAGGAAACTCAGAATTACAACCAGACATCCATAACTTACTTATATTGCTTAAGGTGAATGTAAGCAAAAAGATGTCTGAACACTAGGTGGTTGTTATTTAGCTGTGAAAAGATTAAAGTCATTTGGGTAAGAAATTCTACAGAAGACCGGGGAACCTTAACTTTCCAAAGGCAACAGTACAGCAGTTGTACCAGGATAATGACTTTCTTTAATGCCTGCTGTGGTACAGCTGTTGTACCAGCCATCCCCTCCCTATTTTAAAGAATCGCCTATCTGTAGATCTCTGGGTGGTCCATTGTCGCTGCTCAGAATAGCCGCTGGCTCCGCATTGTTTCCCTCTTCTTATCAGTTTGGCTACATTTTGGCAAAAACCGCAGGTTTCATCTCGCGCCAATATACTTGAAAATCAAATAGAAGCCATCTCTTTCTCAAACGTTACAGCACTGTCTCATAATTTTAGTGCTAACTTTTTTAGTACTAACTTTTGCTATGATTAAAATGTCAGACGCTGTTTAAGCTTATTAGACTTAATGCTTTTTAATCATAGCAAATAAGATTAGATTAATATTTTAAATTTAATGCCTTCTAGAAAATAGGTAAAACCGCTTTTATCCTTTAGTTCCTTTCTATACTTATGAATAATAAGATGTTATTTTGACCCTTTTTTTAGAGTACATAAAACCCTGTTAACTCTTTCAAATTGCTTCTATTATGTAGGCAATTTTGTCTGATTTTATCAGGAGATAAATAAGAGACAATTCCATGCACAATAATTTTTGTGATTTTCATTCATTCAATGATTGATTTCAATGATTTTCATTCACTGTAAATTAAATAAAACCAATTTATCTTTAGACCCATTTTTAAGATGACATCTGCCAAAAAGTATTTAAATATCATTAAAGCTCACGTAACTTCTAAATTTAATCAAAACAACAGTTCCTTCAAAGAAAATTTTGGCCAGCTTTTATTTACTGAAATTCTTATACTTCTCAAGAAGTAAAGAGAATTCAGCCAAGTTAATAAAAAATTTATCTTAAAAAAAGGAATGTTATTTTGTCTGTAATAAGGTGTATGTCAACTTACTATTAAATGTATGAGAATTGGAAATTGGATTACGGAAAAGCATGCAAATGATATCTGCTTAAGGGGATGGATGCTTTCGTGTAAACCTTTTTAAGAGAAAATTGCTCGCATTTACGTTCCTGATGGAAAACTCCACATGTAATCAACCCATTCTCCAGGTTTGATAGGATTAATTTTTTTTGCCTACTAAATTACATCAAAGCACACAGCAATTACCTGTATAAGGGGAGGGATGCCTTCGCGGAGGACTTTCTAAAGGAAGCTGGCTTGTATTTACGTTACACAAAAACCATGAATCTAACCCTTTAGCTGGGATTTAAACCCGAGCAAGCTACAAGTGTTCAGCCACCTTTACTGCTCTACTGAAGGGACCGTGAAAAATTGATAAAGTTTTGAAATAACCAGTTTAATTTACTAACCTATATTTCTCAATCAACAGTACGTAAATTAGGCATAACAGGAGATTATTTGCGAATAAATAAACTGTATTGCACTTTTCTCCACTATTTTATATTACGATGGAATTATTCCATTTCAAAGTTATTTCTCATGAATTAATTTTGCTCAGTTGATGATTTTATATTTTTTCAAAGAGAAAATTTCACATTTTAAATAAAAAAAAAAAAAACATGAGAAGATACTTTATGCAAAATTTGGCGTAAACATTTTGCTTTGAAAATATTCCAGGGTAATCGTTTTCATTATTGGAAGAAATATGAAAAACAGATTTATTACATTGTAAGTGTCAACACCCAGTATGCCCTTATTCTTGGAAAACGTGAAGATTACTCTTTCTAAAACATTAGAAATATATTATGTGCAAATAGAATATTCGTTTAAAATGAACGACTTCAACCTTGGATATAACGATGGTTTTTGACGAAATTTCTGCCTAGGAAAGGAAATTGCCGTATAATTTTTCATAAACATGTTCTGAAAAATACTTTTGCATGTATAAATCACAGATTTTTTTTTCTGCTAACATAAACAAAAGTTAATTTTATAAAGAAAAATTCTCATTAAAGATATACCTCTTTTGCCTGATAGTCCAATATAATATTTGTTAAAGTTAAGTGATGAAATGCAGCCAATGTACCTCTGATTTTCTTTTTTATATTATAATAACAAAATTATTGAAAAAAGCAGATTTAAAGTTTTCTTACTGTTATGTAAAGCCTTATTATTGCTGTAAGTTCATCTCAAAATCTAACTGTATTGAATCTTATTCTAATCATCCAAGAGTAATAAATATTATTAGTGAATTTATTATCATTATTTCATTAAATTAGTCATTACCATTATTTTGTTAATGAAAATAACTACTTTATTAAGTCCTTTATTTATCTACTTATCAAGTAATATTAAAATCACTTCCAACCGCAGACTTACAAAGGTAGTTGTACTTATTTATTTGTAAAATTTGTTCTTGTTTTTCAAATTTCTATACGAAATATGAGAATAAAATGAGTGAGAAAACAAAATTAAAATTCACAAATTATTGCCGAATGATCAGAATATAAATGAAATATAAACATTGCATACATTTTGTTCAAAATAAACAGTGCACTGGATGCACTTCCAGTGCACTATTTATTTAGAACTTCATTTAAATGAAAGCAAAATAATCATCGAAAAAATTACAAATCTAGCAACCCATCTACTATGGAACAGCGTCTGACAAACATTTAAATTTTCCTGAATCCATGGAGAGGGGACTAACGACTTTTCTCATTAGGAAAATGTCAAAAAGGGAGCAAAAGTGTTTTGGATCGTGCCGTTCTGAAGGCTATATTATGAGAATTTTTAGATTTTAGAAGGTTAAGAATAATACAAAAGAAGATTTAGAAGATTTTAGAAGGTTAAAGAATAATACAAGAGACAACGAAAACATTTTGATAACTTGTCAGTTGAAATAATAATAATAATAAAAAAAAAAGAGTTGCATTTGTTTAGGGGGGGGTGCAAGTGCACTTCCCTGGCTACGCCCATGCATCTTAAGCATCATTTAGTACAGAAACAAAGAAAAAGTTACTATATCCGTTAAGTATTGAAATTGAACTACTTTATTAAGTAATCAGAAAGATAATTTCTAAAATTAAAATTGTTTTAGAAACATAAGTTTCTAACACTTAAAATCATTACAAAACACTGAAGAATTAAGATACTTTCACTTACCTAAATTTAAAAAAAAAAAAAGCTGTACTCCATAAATCCCTCCCCCCCCCCAATATTTTAAAAATTATGATCAATATGGCCCGGGTACATCAACATCTGAAACAGAGTCATCATTAGATTCGTGTAAAAATTCTTCTTCAGGCTTTGGATCTTGTAATGTGGGGGGATAAATTCTTGCAATATCAGCAAGAAAACTTTTGAATACATCATTCTGAACGGAGTGGTCATGTCGTTTTCTCCACATAAATTCATACAGATATGAATTGAACATTTCTTCAGTTTGATTAGCAGAGTTTCCAAGAAATCGTTTAACTCCTGCCCACACACCCTCAGTGATATTAGCATGTGGCGGACATACGTACGTCAAACTGTGGCTTACCTCTAAATGTCGAAATCTTTCATCTTCCAGACATTTATAGGCAGTCCAACAGTCAGAAATGATTATGGTTCTAGGCAATACCCATTCACTAATTACATCAAGCAAACAGGCACTCGTTCGATTTGGAACCACTCTAAAAAAACATCTGTGGGTATCTCTTTCAATTCCTCCAAA